TACTTACATCTTAACATAAGCAATTGGTAAAGATCTCTGTGTAGCAGCTGTAAAGGGAAAGTCTTTAGCCCTAACGCTGCAGCCGGATAGTGTTGGGGCCAAGTTTTACCATTTGTGCACTCAAGAAAAGTCTCACTCAAGCCTGAGGTAAGCAATAAAGATATTAGATGGCTGTATGGTATGTTGCTAAGGGGCTCAGTGTCACTCCTCTCTAGCAGTAGACAGTAAATCCCCACAGAAGCAGCTAACCAGTCCCAGTGGAATTGCAGCTTACCATCCTGTCACACACAGCGATTTCTCCACTCTGTGCTCTCCACCCAGGTGACCCTGGTTGTTGACATCCCCAAACTTAGTTTTCCAGATCCCACTCAGGCCACCGTTATTCAGCAGTGGTGGCGCACACTGGACGTAAATGTGCACTCTGCGATCTCCCTCATGGCAAGAGGAAGATGTGTCCTGTACAGCCTGAGAAAATGCAGCTCTTTCCCCTCCTCACGGCACTTTCTCTATGGTAAATGCAGTTCAAAAGCTCTTGATTACTGTAGAGTGTATCCTCAAAACTACAGTTTCCATAATGCAGTGCTGCCTGACTCAGTCTATCGAATTCTTCCTGCTCAGGAGCTCCCTCCTCTCACTAACCAGTTCAGCACCGCAGGGCAGCAGTTGCAAAGAGCAACTGCAGCCAGTATTTCACTCAATATTCATCTTAGCCAAGCACCAGGCTACATGTTAAAGATTACATGATGAATGGTTTCATCTACTTTACAACTCAACCCCAGCCAAGCTTTTTTAAGTTTTTAATGGAATATGGAAGAGTTAAAATTTCTGGGTTTTTTAATGCTGTTTTGGTATCTTTTTGAAATATTTTTCCCTTCTACCTCTCCCTGTGATACCCATAAGTGATGTAGTAGTCATAAGGGAGGAAAGACACAGACCGTGATGAAAACAGTTAGGAGCTCTAACCATTCCCCACTCTATCAAAATTCATTTTTGTGTTTTTTCTATGTCACCATTATAGACATCTTTCATGCTCTTACAGCAAATTAGGAGTAAACGCTCTAATAGGGACATAGATGGCAATAAAAACCTGGCATATGTTCTAACATTCCCTGCTCTATCCAAAACAAAAGCATAATGTGCTGGAGTTAGGATTTAAAGTGGTTGTAAATTCTTACATATACCCATTTACCCATTGACATGATGAGGATCAGGTGATACACAGAGTTGAAACAAATCCTCCTACATAATTTGTACCTGTTTATCTGCAGTATTCTCTTCTCTACAACAGTTCAATGTCCAGAGTTTATAAAGCTTGTCTGAGAGTTAAGAAAAAAGGGGGAGGAGAGCTGAAGTTACACTCTGCAGAGTTCAGTGAGGACAGCTCTGAGAGCTGATGGAAGGAAGAGACATAACCCCTACACACAGCGCAAAGAAACAGAGCTGAGGCTGCTGGATGTCCTTCCTCTATCACCATTTTTCTCCTGGTGCCAGGAAAACTTATCAGAAGTGATTCTGCTGATAGCAGAGAAATGACAAAGCAGACAGAAATTACATCTAGTGCTCTGGATTGGAACAAGTACACACTATAGAGGGACATAGTTTGTTTATATTTCATGTCTGAGGTTTACAACCACTTTAATAAATCTTTCAGAGTTGCCTCAGGAACCCCAGAATCTGGGAACCCCAATTATGCAAACGGCTCAGTAGTTAGCATTCCATCCTACCACCTCTTGCACCTCACTATTTGTTCCCTAAAGTGAAGCACAGTTGTCAGGAGAGGGTAGGCCAGATTTCTTATTACAGAGCTGAAATCACTATTTGTATAATTGAGTGCTTGGGTTTTGGGGTCTGCAAGGCTCTTTGGACGATTTAATAGCCTTGAAGGTACAGAAATCTCTGGATGGGAAACTCATACAAAGGAGCGCAGAGAGGCCACTCTAGGTGGAAACATGTGATCAGTTAATCATGAGCTCACCACTGCTGCCTTGTTAATCATTTGCATGATGAAGAGAACTGAAAAAAATAGGCGCTGTGGAAAATGCTCTCAGACAAGCTCCTTAATGAAGGTGCATCTTTATTGGATGAGACAAAGTAGCAAATATAATAAAATTTGACCAGCCTGAAGTGAACAGTGTGACTCCAACAGACGGCCCGTCCATTCTGAAAGGAGCTGAGATCGGAGAACGCTCCTGTCGACTTAAATCACGTGGTGTCAGCGTACCGGCGTCCCTGGTGGTGTCACCATGTCAAGCGAAGGCAGTGTCCGGCGTTGGCTTCAGCTGGGGGCATGTGTAGGGTTACCAAGACAACATTTTTTGCGCAGTTGCGCTTTGTCAAGTCTCTGGTAACCCTGGCCAGTGGCCATTATATAGAAGACCATTAAAGGGAAGGCTGACTGAGTGTAATTAGCAGGGGATGGGGTGTCAATCAGAGTGGACGGCTCGTCCTGAAGCAATGCTGAATACAAATTTAAAAGTACAAATTGCAAATTATAGAAAGTGGTGCCAATTAATGAAGTGATATGTATAAGAACACTTTTGGAAAGCATGATATACTTTTATCTTTAGCAGAATAAATGTAATAATAAAACAATAAAATAATAAAAAGAAAAACTTTTCTTGTGGGAGGACTCTAAGTTAAAAATGACATCGCTGGTTCATGGAGGCTATGTCAAAAAATGCGTTTATAGTGAGGTAATTATGGGTATATGGACAAAGAAAGGGGTGGGGAGAGGTGAAAGCTTGGCATATGAAAATAAAAATGAAAATGACTGTATAAAAGAGACCATTGGGGGTCATAGAACCTAACTTGTAGATCCAGAACGTCTCTCTCTTACATAAACGGGCTAGTCTTTCATTGTCAGTAAGTGTACCCTTTGGAATATGTTCGATTGCTAAGACCTTAAGAAGACTGAAATTATTTTGATGGGATTGCAAAAAGTGCCTGGGGACACTATGCTTATCGCAACCATCTCTTATAAGTCTTCTATGCTCCCCTATGCGTTTGCGTAGAGGGCGTGTGGTTCGGCCTACATATAGGAGCTTACACGGGCATCTGAGGATGTGGTCAGTTGCACATGTAATAAACTGACGAATGTGGTAGCTGTTGCCCTGGGAGTCCAAAACCTGTGATCTGCCATGGGTGATGGACCTAGGATCCTCCTGTTTTTTTTTTTTTTTGCTAACCATTATGGTTATGTACTGATATTTCTTTTATATACATTATTGTCTTCTTTTAACACTTGTTTTTTAATTTTCACTTTTACCATGTATATATTGTGCTTACTCAATTATGAATACATGTTACTACGCATCTATTGCGTTTATTTGATTACGAACATATGAGCTACCTAATTTGATACCCGTATTGATTTTACTAGATTCCTTTTAGCAGTACCTTTTATACAGTCATTTTCATATGCCAAGCTTTCACCTCTCCCCACCCCTTTCTTTGTCCATATACCCATAATTACCTCACTATAAACACATTTTTTGACATAGCTTCCATGAACCAACGATGTCATTTTTAACTTAGAACTCTCCCACAAGAAAAGTTTTTCTTTTTATTATTTTATTGTTTTATTATTACATTTATTCTGCTAAAGATAAAAGTATATCATGCTTTCCAATAGTGTTCTTATACATATCACTTCATTAATTGGCACCACTTTCTATAATTTGCAATTTGTACTTTTAAATTTGTATTCAGCATTGCTTCAGGACAAGCCGTCCGCTCTGATTGACACCCCATCCCCTGCTAATTACACTCAGCCAGCCTTCCCTTTAATGGTCTTCTATATAATGGCCGCCGGCCAGGGTTACCAGAGACTTGACAAAGCGCAACTGCGCAAAACATGTCATCTTGGTAAGCCTACACATGCCCCCAGCTGAAGCCAACGCCGGACACTGCCTTCGCTTGCCATGGTGACACCAGCAGGGACGCCGGGACGCTGACACCATGTGATTTAAGTGAACAGGAGTGTTCTCTGATCTCAGCTCCCTTCAGAATGGACGGGCCGTCCGTTGGAGTAACACTGCTCACTTCAGGCTGGTCAAATTTTATTATATTTGCTACTTTGTCTCACCCAATAAAGATGAGCCTTCATGAAGGTGCTTGTCTGAGAGCATTTTCCACAGCGCCTATTTTTTTCAGAAATCTCTGGATGCCTGTTTTTTCACCCTGCTAGCAGTTCACAGCTTTTAATGATAACATGAGTTCACCTAAATGGTGTACTTTTCTGGAGTTTTCTGTAAAGTCAAAGTAGGTTATGTACAAATTAATATAAATGTAAACACAACTTTGAAATATTCCCAAATGACAATTATATAACATAGTAAATTGTAGATGTAATATTACAAATCCTTTTCTGCTTTTACTTTTTTATCTGGGCGCATCAATTACTTCTAACTGCAGTTATATTAAATATTAAAACAAATAATCCTCTACTGACTTCCTTCCAGCAGTATTATAGCTGTTCATAAAACAATTACCTTCATAGATAATGAATAAAAATCCAGCAGTTTTGTGTAACTGCAAATCATGTCAGCAATGTACTCGGTCTCAGTGATGATGAAGCCTTTTTTGATTTTCCTGCAAGAAAAAAGGGCATTATGCATCAGGGGAAAATGCTATTTTTACCCAGTTAGTCAAGCTATTCCAAGAAGAAAACCCAATACCTGTCAACGACTATATAAATGTGCAATGTATATGTAAAGCCTAACATTGCACTTTTTCTTTTTTTTTGGTCTGCTAAATATACCATCAAAAGTGTTTTATTATATCTGTTCAATAAGAGCAAAAAAAAAAAAAACTTGTAAATCTGCTAGAAATCTTGTGAACTGATAACCTATTGTGCTCTCTGCCTGTGTTGCACTGTTATCATTTATCATTGTCCCAAACATTCTATGGTAACATCTTCCCTATGTTGTGGAGAAGAGGAGGCAGGGAGTTTTTTGTAGTCCTGAAACATTTCCTGTTCTATCACCAAGTATTACCGACAGGGGAGAGAACTGTATGTAAACAATACAGTTCTCTCCCCTGTCAGCTCATGCACACTGCTTTGTATGGCTCTGCCATACAAAGTTATACAAAGCAGTGTGCTTACAGTGGAAAGCACACATACAGCCTCATAGTAAAACACACACAGCACACAGTTAACACTTTGATTGCCCCAGATGTTAACCCCATCCTGCCCAGTGCCATTAGTACAGTATCAGTGCTTTTTATTAGCCCTGATCACTGTATTGGTGTCACTGGGGATGTCAGTAACACCAAGTCAGTTCCCCCCAGTGGCAGAATACCCACCGCAGTCCCATTATAAGTCGCTGATTGCCGCCATTACTAGTATAAAAAAAATCCAGTATATATATCGCCATTTGTAAAGGCTATAACTTTAACGCAAACCAATTAATTTACACGTATTGGGATTTTTTTTAGCAAAGACATGTAGCAGAATACACTTTGGCCTAAATTTATGACAAAATTTTATTTTTTAAATCTTTTTATTGGACATGTTTAACAGCAAATAGTCAGAAATATTATTTTTTTCTCAAAATTGTCGGTCTTTTTTTGTTTATAGTGCAAAAATAAAAAAACGCAGAGGTGATCAAATACCACTGAAAGAAAGCTCTATTTGTGGAAAAAAAAGACATAAATTTAATTTGGGTGCAGCTTTGCATGACCACACGCTTTTCAGGTAAATTTATACAGAAATGCTGATATCTACATATCTTTGGCTGTGCTTTGAGTCTCCTCTGCATGCACAATAAACAGAACCTGGTGGATACCAAAGAGTGCCTAGTACCTGTGTGAGATTATTAGTCAGCTGACACACAATGCAGGTATTATAGGCATGTGATAGCATAGTAGAAATGAGAACTCCTCTTTAAGTAGACATTAGGAGTCTAATAAGATCTCTAATGTCATCTATGGACCCCAATGAAGGTACAGTAATTACCTTTTTTTTTATACGTGATCAGAATGACAACTGTGAACCCAGAAGTGACCAAATGCTGGCCATTTCTGGGTTCAGCCACTGGAAGGAAGATTAGTGACTGAAAGTTTGCTGATCTCCCTCTGCTACACCCACCATGCCTATCCCATGCCCACAAGAGGGACAGCAGATCACAAAAATATATTGAATGAGTGGTAGGGTGGTGCTGTTCTCCCTTCTCAGCTTCGCCTGATGGGACCTGGTGATAGACATCTTTAGGAACCAATGTAAGAGCGGGTAGGTCGGCGCCCCCCTTACCCAGAAATGGAAAATCACATTGATTTATGTGATTCTGCACAGCACAACTGCCCTGTAGCAGTACATCTGCTATGGGACGATCTTGAAGTGGTTAAATAACATGCCTGGAGGATGTCCATAATCCATAATCTCCTGTGTATGATGTTTACAATCTGCTGCTGCAAAATTGACATTTACAAAGAGAAAAATGCCATTTAAATTGTTGGTAAATGACAGCTTTCGCCACTTACTCCTTTCTGTAAATAAAACAGCTATTCCAGACCCTTATCCTAGAAGAGGGTCCTGTATAGATGTTAATGTGGGGCCCATACAAAAATATGTAATGGGGGTTCCCTCTAAAAATACATGGAGGCCCCTATCTTTGATGAGGCTCTTGTATGGATGTCAAGGGGACCCCGTGCAAAAAACAAAAAGCAGCATGGGGTTTACCCTGAGACTGCACCTTGCCTGTGATTAGATGAGAGAACCCCAGTGGGCAGGCAGTCTGCATCCAACTGCTGATCACTGCATGAGCGATCACATTGCTTTCAATGCAGCAGCCTCCTTCACTTAACCCTGCTAGGGTTCTTGCATCTAATCGCAGGCAGAGTACATTAATAGGTTGGAATGCACCCTTAATAATAAATAACACCCATCCCCCTCAAAAAAAAAAATGTCCCATGATGTATGCTCAATCACAGTGTTCAGTGATACAGATCCACGTCAATTGCAATGAACAACACCTGCTGACCAATCATATTAAAAAAAATCCCACCAATATGATCCATTTCCACTCACTTGTGGCCACTTTGTTTAGCAATGTTTGCGCTTTCTCAGACCCTTTGCTTACATGGCCAGGGGATTCCTGGACAGTAAATGAAAGGGGCTGGGCGATGTCACCATTAGTAAGGACTGTATATGTTAGCTTCCTTCCTGTCAGTGGTTTTAAGGAAGCAGCAGGCACCAGCGTCTACCACGTCCTTAGCAACCATTGACAGGAAGGTACAAAACACTGCTACTATATATGATGTTCTGCTCCCACCAAACATGCCAAATGTCTGGTGTATGGGGGAAATCCTGAAAAGCCATAGTTTGCGCTTAAATTGTGTTTGGACTGAACCTTGAGCTAATCACTATTTGTGATCAGTGTGATATATACAGATTTAGATTGAAAAGTGTAGCTTAACACTGCCATTAGTCAGTGCTGCAAGATCTCACAGATACTATCAGCCTACTTGTTGGTTTATTATTTCATTTGGAACATTCAATTCTTTAATCCATCTGTAAGCAGAAAAATGATGGCTCATGGGCCGTTTTTGAAAATCCTCTGCTCTGAGAAGAATGCCACAGGTGGAGATTTTAAGAGGAATCAAAGGTTGCAGAAAACATGCAAAACCGATCTCGAAAAGCTGCTAACCCTGAGGGCCAAAAAAATGGCATTTGGAACAATTCAGGGCAGCAGGGTACAGGATATAGGTAAAAGGCTAAAACAGGCTCGGGCAGGAATCAAGCTCAAGATCAACAGCAAACAGTGTCTGGCTAGCAGCACAAAACACTGAAGCACCAGGTACTAGTGGAGAAGGGAATACATACCCTCCCAGCAGCCACCAACAGGTGAAGACTGATTACTGGTGGACAACGCAACTACAACCTTCCACTCTGGGAACTACAGTGCCACTAGCAGGTGATGCAGGTCCTGACACATGGACTAGCAGTGTCACAAATTAAGTAACTGACTGACTCAAAGAGTTAAAGATTTTTATGGTAGGATATCTATTTAAATAAAGTTCTTACTAACAGGCATGCTTAAAGTGGTTCTAAAACCAAAACATTTTTTACTTTAATGCATTCCATGCATTAAGGCAAAAAACGTTTTCCATCTTGCAGTCCCCCTCCTCCCTATATACTTACCAGAGTCCTCAATTGATCCAGGGCTGTGCACGGCTGCAGTCCTCTCTTCCTTGTGACATAAAGGTTGTAAAGAGGGAAGTGAGAGGCAGGGTCAGGGAGCAAGCATTTACTGTGTACCCCCATAGCAAGCGGCTTGCTATGGGGGCACAGGGAGAGGAGGAACCAAGATTGCCAGCAGGGGACCCCAGAAGAAGAGGATTGGGGCTGTGCAAAAACATTGCACATTGCACAGAGCAAGTATAAAATGTTTGTTATTTTAATTTTTTAAAAATTGCCTTTAGTATTATGTTAATCCACACAGTGTTCCACATGGATCTTCTCTGTACATTCTGTATGGGGGCCCATATAGATCCTCTTGTGCACTTAGCCTCTGAACTACAGCAGAGCAGGCTGCTCAAGTCACACATCACTACACGTGCTACTAGAATCAGCTGGGTAGGCCTCCCAGCTATTATAGCTGAGCAGTTCTCAATCTCAAACCCCAATGGGATAAGATTATTAAAAATATATTTGGTAAAATGGACATGCAACCATGGTTTGTCAGATCTGGAAGAAAATACTAAGCCTAAAGTAGATTTAAAAAAAAATGTGGATAGAGTAGGGAAGGGTTATAGCCCGTCACTTTTCTTGCCACTTGTGTCCCATTGGGGAGATTTCCTTTGACTCCCTGTCCCATAGTCACAACAGGAAGTGAGAGGAAATACCTCCAAAATTAGGGAAATCCCTGTTAGTTAACTAGTGTCCCCATTGGAAGATTTGCCCTCTATTCCTGTTCTGGTGACCACTTAAAATTTTGGATATTCTTTCACATTCTGTGATAATGGTCACTAGGAGAAAAAGAGAAGGTGAATCACCCAAATGGGGCTCAGATATCAATAAACCCCTGAATGGCGATCTGATTCCTCTCCACTCTGTCTTCACTAATAAAATAAGTTTTGCCTTCCATGATACCTAAAAGTTCCCCTTGCCTTTAAATGCCAAAAAGGCTGAAAATGCTGAAATACAGTAATTGGAGTTACAGGCAAGATTGCTAAAATAGTCTTGGTTGAACTCCAAGGTTATACCTTTTATTAATTATGACTGACTGATGAGTTCTGTTTTCTAAAATTCTTGCTTTAGACGGACATCCCATTTGATTTATTTGCCTGTAGGGATATCTTTTAATTGGTGTTTACAGTTTAACAGCTTGATCCCATTACTTCTGTTTTCAGACATCAAAGGTCTTGTAAATGGTTGGCCACATAAGATAACGATTTGCTGTAATCCAAGTACAGCAAGGGTTTTGTTACTATTTTCACACAACATATTACTTTTACCGTTACAGCACATGCTTACCCCCTTCCCCTTACCATCCATAGCATTTCTGGTCCCCTCTTATTCCCTGGTCACACTGTTCTGCTTTAAAATACACACAGTTTAAATAAAGCGTCCTGACAGTCATACTGTATGCAGGATGTCATTCCTGACTCTTGTGAAGATGCTGATGTTTTGGCTTTGACATTGATTATGTCCCAGGAAGAGTAAAGATACAAGGAATTCAGAATTTATTCATTTTTTATTAATTTGTTTTGTTTATTTATGTATGCATGTATTTATGTTTTTATTTTTGCTCCATGCTTATTTTGGAACAGAACTATTGAAGTGAGACACAGCCAAGACTGTATTCTCAGAAGAATGCTATAGTCTTGTCTGTACTTTAGGGAGTCTTTAAACCTAAATCAATATAAACTGTCAATATATGCTATATTACATTGTATGCATACTCACATTGCCACTATTTCATTCATTTTCTGTAGATTGCAAAAAACCTAGTTGATTCTGCAGTTCACTATCCCTCCCTTCCTTCTTGTCCATGTCCCTGCTGTATCCTAAGATTGTGTAGACCAGCCGTTGCCTATGCTACCTATGTGACTATAGTCACACATGTGGATGTACACACAGTGGTTAATGACAGTTCCCCCTCCCCCCCTTCCCCCCACCTCCATATCCTGGTGGGATATAAAATGTTGACTGGTGGAGGATTTATCTTTCTTTTAGTCCTAACACATATACACCAAAGACACAGGCTGCAGGTGATGGCACAGCCTGTGATTGGCAGAACATCTTATAGATATCATTACAGTGTGAACAAAGTGAAAGCTATTGTCAGTCTACTAAACGTCCACCTACAACATGTTATTATAAAAAAAATAATAAACAGTTGCTTTGTATTTC